AACGAGCTGAGCCAGGTGCCGCTGCCCGTGATGCTGCTGCCGGACGACTTCAAAGCCAGCTCCAAAATCAAGGTCAACAATCACCTGTTCAACAGGTGAGCGGCGCCGGGGGGGGCACGGGGGCAGCGTCCCGCAGCGGGGGGCACCCAAAAACTCACGTGAACCCCCCGAAACTCAGGGAGAACCTGCCCAGCCACTTCAAGTTCAAGGAATACTGTCCCCAGGTGTTCCGCAACCTGCGCGAGCGCTTCGGCGTCGACGACCAGGACTACCAGGTGGGCTGGGGGGCGCCGGGGGGGCCGTGCCCGGGCTCCCGGCCACCCGTGCCCTCGGTGCGTGCCCCCAGGTGTCCCTGGCACGGAGCCCCCCGCGCTGGGCGGGCAGCGGCCGCCGCCTGCTGCTCTCGGCCGACCGCACGCTGGTGCTGAAGGAGCTGTCGAGCGAGGACGTGGCCGACGTGCACGGGCTGCTGTCCCACTACCACCAGGTGCGGGCGGGGCGGAGTCACCCGTGTCACCTGGGTGCTCTGGGCGGTGTCACCTGTGTCACCCGTGTCACCTGGGTGCTCTGGGCGGTGTCACCTGTGTCACCTGTGTGTCCTGGGTGGTGTCATCCGTGTTACTTGTGTGCCCTGGGCGGTGTCACCTGTGTCACCCGTGTCACCTGGGTGGTGTCATCCGTGTTACTTGTGTGCCCTGGGCGGTGTCATCTGTGTCACCTGTGTGTCCTGGGCTGTGTCACCTATTGTTACTTGTGTCACCTGTGTGCCCTGGGCTGTGTTACCTGTGTCACCCGTGTGCTCTGGAATGTGTCACCCGTGTGTCCTGGGATGTGTAACCCATATCATCTGGGATTTGTCACCTGTGTATCCCAGGCTGTGTCACCTGTGTGTCACCACGTGTCACTGCGTGTCACCATGTGCCCCCGTGTCCCCACAGTTCGTGGTGCAGTGCCATGGGCAGTGTCACCGTGTGTCACCACGTGTCACCGCGTGTCACCGTGTGTCACCGTGTGTCCCCGTGTCCCCGCAGTTTGTGGTGCAGTGTCACCGTGTGTCACCGCATGTCACTGTGTGTCACTGTGTGTCCCCGCGTGTCACCGCGTGTCCCCGTATCCCCGCAGTTCGTGGTGCAGTGCCACGGGCAGTGTCCCCGTGTGTCCCCGTGTGTCACCGCGTGTCACCATGTGTCCCCGTGTCCCCGCAGTTCGTGGTGCAGTGTCACCGTGTGTCCCCGTGTGTCCCCGTGTGTCACCGTGTGTCCCCGTGTGTCCCCGCGTGTCACCGCGTGTCCCCGTGTCCCCGCAGTTCGTGGTGCAGTGCCACGGGCAGTGTCACTGTGTGTCACTGTGTGTCACCGTGTCCCCGCAGTTCGTGGTGCAGTGTCCCCGTGTGTCCCCGTGTGTCNGTGTGTCACCGTGTCCCCGCAGTTCGTGGTGCAGTGTCCCCGTGTGTCCCCGTGTGTCCCTGTGTGTCCCCGTGTGTCCCCGCGTGTCACCGCGTGTCCCCGTGTCCCCGCAGTTCGTGGTGCAGTGCCACGGGCAGACGCTGCTGCCGCGGTTCCTGGGCATGTACCGCGTGAGCGTGGACAGCGAGGACACGTACCTGCTGGTCATGAGGAACCTCTTCAGCCACCGCCTGCCCGTGCACAGGAAGTACGACCTGAAGGTATCGGGGCGCCCCCGAGCCCCTCTGATCCTCTTCTGGGGCGGCCTCCCCCCAAAACCCCTCCGGTCACCTCTGCTCCCTCCTCGCAGGGCTCCCTGGTGGACCGAGAGGCCAGTGACAAGGAGAAGGTACTGCGGGAGGACGCCGTGACCCCCGGATTTGGGGAGGGGGCTCTGGGCTCCCTCTTCCCTCCTCCCCGCTGAGGACAGCTCACTGGCTGCCCCCCAAGGGCCGGATTCCCTCCGCAGGGGCTGCGACCCCCAGGGACGCAGCCTGGGGGGGGTCCCGCGGCTCTGGGGGTCCCCTCCAGCTCGGGGGTGTCCCCCCGCTGTCCCTCCCCAGGGCAAGGAGCTGCCCACGCTGAAGGACGTGGATTTCCTCAACAAGAACGAGAAGGTGTTCGTGGAGGAGGAGCAGCAGCGCGAGTTCATGGACAAGCTCAAGAGGGACGTGGAGGTGGGGACGGGGGGGCTGCAGCCCCAGGGGTCTGAGG